TTTACACTCTCCCTAAAGTGCACAAACCATCAAGACCACCACCAGGAAGACCAATCGTCTCAAGTATTGGACCACCAACTGAAAGAATCTCTGCCTTTGTTGATGAACATTTACAGCCACTAGTACAAAATTTACCTTCCTACATAAAAGACACTAACGACTTTCTAAACAAAATTGCAGTCTTAAACCTCCCTCAAAATTCAGACTTATTACTTGTAACAGTTGATGTTGAATCACTATATACAAATATTCCCCACGATGATGGTCTGAAGGCTGCCAAACATTTTCTTAACTCTAGACCCACAAATTCTAAACCTTCTACACATTTTTTGGCTACTCTCATTCAAATGATACTAACCATGAACAATTTCAGATTCATGGACAAACACTTCTTACAAATTAAAGGCACAGCAATGGGTACACGAATGGCCCCAGCTTACGCTAATCTTTTTATGGGTCTATTAGAGCAAAATTTTCTTTCAAACAATCCTTTAACTCCTCTTCTTTGGTTAAGATATATAGATGATATCTTTATTGTTTGGCAACACGGAATAAATTCACTAAAAGAATTTCTACAAGATTTAAACCAATTTTCTTGCTTGAAATTTACTTTGAATTATTCAGACAAAATTGTTTCTTTCTTAGATGTTGATGTCTTCATTGACAATCAAAAACTTAAAACAAAAATTCATTTAAAAGAAACTAACAAAATGCAGTACTTATATTATCAAAGTTGTCACCCTATGTATATAAAAAAATCAATTCCAAAAAGCTTATCAATTCATGCTAAAACACTCTGCAGTAAAAAATCAGATTTTGAAAAATATATCACTAAATTGAATTCTGCTTTCATTGAAAGAGCCTATCCTCAAAAACTAATATCCAATCAGATCAAAAAACCCAAAAAACTCAACCAAGATAATAGTTTTTCAAGTGATCCTAAATTTATTACTCAATACTATCCTGGGCTACAAAAGATTAACAGTGTAATGAAAGTAGCATTCAATATTTTGAAATCTTCCCCCAGTACTGAAAATTTATTTTCCAGACCACCTTGTGTTATTTTTAAAAGGCCACAAAATTTAAAAAATATGTTGGTGAGACCCAAAATTCAAAATTCTTGGCCTTCAAACAATTTTAAACACGGCTGTGAACCATGTCACAAGCCCCGATGTGGTATTTGAAAAATTATGAGTAATACAACTGAATTTGATAGTAAAGTTACAAACAAGGTTTATCCGATTGTTGGTAGATCAACTTGTGAATCTCACAATGTGATTTATCAACTATCGTGTAAACATTGTCCAAAAAAATACATTGGCCAAACTTCAAACTCTTTAAGAGTTTGAATGACAGGCCATCGTTTTGATGTGGTACATAAAGACAAAAGAAAACCAATCTATAATCATGCCGCTCACCACAACCATATAATTTTGAAGGCTGCTAAACCCTTAAAGCCCTTCACAAAGTAAACCCACATCAAAACCCTAAATGCAACCAACTGGTCTTAAGAAATTCTGAATTGGCTCACCAGTTGGTACTGAAAACAAAGTTCCCCTCTGGTTTAAATTTAAGATAATAAAAAAGTGATTCAACTCAGCTGAATTCTAATTTTCTTTTAGGCTGATTTTATTATTTTCTTTGATCTGTACTCAACCATATGTTCTAAAAATTAAACTATTTGTAAACAGTTCATATTTATTTTGTTTTTTTCATTTTTACATTTTTCATTAATTTCTCTTTGCTTGAAAACGTTTGTATTAAACGAAAATTTGCAATGTTTCTTGTTTCATTTATCATAAACTCTATCAAGATCTCCTTAAGAATATATATATATATATATATTTATATATGTGTCCGTGAACGCGATAACTTGAGTAATTTTTGTCCGATTTTGATGAAATTTGGTTTAACCTGTTCGCTGCTACGGACGTTCCGGAACGTCAAACGGGCCACGGCGCCAGGAGCTAGGAACGTTCCGGAACGTCGCCGTTCATTGATGTTTAACGTTACCATGGATCAGCCAGCTCGTCACGAGCGTCCTATATTTCTTTGCAGCTCGTGGGGACATACTTTTCTGACAATAAAAAATATAGGTAGTTTCCCAAAATCACCACCAAGGTCGTTTAGAACAGGGCTTTGTCCCACCTCTTTCCTGCTAGATAGCGACACTACTTTACCGACTGCAACCTGGGTAGTGCTGCTATCTATCAGAATCACTTAGTACTATGTCCAAAGCCAGTTTTATTGCAGAACATTGCCATCCAGTACAACCACCTTTGTTTTTACTGTAATTCGGTGTATCGGCAGCAATGTTTACGCAGCGACGAGCGTTAGTTCAGCTCCTGGCGCCGTCCTGGCATCTAGCGGTCAGCAGCGAACGTGTTAAAGGTGTAAAGCAGAATAAACTTGAATGAGTTCGCAAACCAGCATGATCGGACTATGGGAACGGGGTTTTATGGGGTAAAAATAGGTTTTTCCTATTTTTAACCCTAAAAACACAAAATTTCACAATTACTTTCCAAACCATTATGTAGAGCTTAAAGAAACAAATAATTTAGTATATTGAAGCATTATTATGCGCCTAAGGGTTACGGAGAAAATTAAAAAAAAATATAATTTTAAAATTCCCATGTTATTCTTATGGAGAATAAGTCAACTGTTGTAGTTTGCTTATTTATGAACATATTTTGATCAAATTTGGAAAATACATTAATTTCTTACTAAACTACAGTACCTATTAACATTTTACATTAAAAAACACCCTGTAGCAGCAAACCTAATTACTTGTTAAACTAATTCTATTTAAATAGGGAATAAATGTGATATATTTAAGGAGACATTTTAGTGTAAATCCAATGAGGCAAATGGAAATTCGCTAAGTCTGCAGGTTTGCTGTGGCGGGGGTATTTAAATAGTTATTTGGAGAAGGCAGCAGGCAGCTCAGATAGTCCTGTAGCTTGCATTGACTTTTGTAAATTGATTTGTAATATGGAACCTATAGAAAATACCAGATTTGCGGGGGAACACAGGGGAATGCAGCGAAACTCCGTTCCAGTACCTGTCTCAGTAAGATAAAAATATTGACATAAATACAGGAACTAATCACATTAAATAGGTTACAGTTCCGGCACCTTGTTTTTTACAAATCAAGCACTGTAAAATACTATCAACACCGGAGATTTAATGATAAATAAACAAAAATTATAGATTTTATATATCAGCTGTTACCAAACTTTTCAACCCAGCTACATTTTGGATTTCTTTCATGACCCAACTATTTAAATCATATTAATATTACCATTTATCATCATCATGTTACTATTACTGTATTAATATTAAATATTATCATGTAAATGGTTTACTGAGAAACAGACAACAAAAGAAAAATTTTAATTAAAAAATTAAATTTTAATTAGCTATAATATACAGGGGCTGGCTCACGTCTTTGATGTAGCACTTGCTAACATGGTCCTGCTCCTCCACTTCCGGTGACGTCACCACGCTGACAGTTTTTAGGTTGTGGTTATGGCAACACTGCATCAAATACTCGTAAAATCAACTTTGCTCTTTGATTGTTATTTGCGTCTGTTTGTTTCTGTCTATGTGTGCAGTTTTCAATTCTGAAGTTGGTTTTTAGTTATGCAAGTTATGAGTGTTTGCTCTGTTGCCATGTGTAAGAATTATTACAAAAAATCTACAGGGTTTATTTTATTTTTTGTACATTTCCCAAGGACAAATCGATCTGTGCAATATGGGTAGCCAAGTGTAAGCGGGCTCATGCATTTATTCCGGACACCACCAGAATTTGTAGTGACCATTTTACCGATTGTGACTATGTTGATGACATTAAAAATAGACTTCTTAGTTTGCCGCAGAAGAAGACTTTAAAGAAAGATGCAGTGCCATATCATTGAAACTTTTACCTGGTGAGGTCAAAGTTCGTAATAACGAACCTAATATACATGCAAGTACATTAATGGTAGCTGGGGCAGTTACATTAATGTATCTGCAACACTAAAATGATCTAGGAAGGGAGGGAAACAGGTCCACGACGTAGTAAGTGGTGAAGGAAGTAGGAAAGACTAGCAGTGCAGAGTGTGGGAATATTTGTATTATGTATTATATCTATAAACATTTTTTCATTTATTGCTTATTAAAAACCGTGAAACATGATCGCTTCGCTCAACTGGCTTTCATTGTTATGAAAGCAATCCTAGTTTTTAATGTTGGCATAAAAAACGATGACTTACTCTCCTTGACGCACAATTTACTATTTTGTTTTGGTCGGTTCTATGTGTTACCAAATAGCTTAAAAATATGTTTTAAAACCCTCCAGATGTTTGTTAGACCTGTATATTGTACCCCCCTGTTCCAAATCCTGCGGCCGCCCATGCAAAAAGTTACTTGGAGTTTTCAGGCCTTGCAGAATCCTGGGCATTTGCCCTCTTTGCCCCCCTCCCCTCACAGCGTATTTAATTTTTTAAAGGAAGTATGTTTTATCTGTGTTATTAGATGGACGAGAGGTCGTCCAGTGGTCGAAACTCGACCAAAAATATGTAATGTACTCACTTAACTATTTTCACCCCACACTGTAAATAAAACATGTGATTGGAGTTTCCTCCATTTGTTTTGATTTTCTGTTTATATTTCGTTGTTATTTCGTAACCAGCATAGCAACGCATAAGATCCATGTTAATTTTTTACAACTTTTAAACTTATTTTTTGTACTTATCTTTGAGCCTATTTAAATTTATAAAGGGATTCTGCACACCTACAGGAAAATAGCTTTCCAACAGTATGCGTAGATTTTCCCTACGATGCACACGAGCTGAGAAAAAAGGTTTTAAAGAAACATGCTTGCCTATTAATATATAGATAAACACAACAATGTTAAACTAATTTTCCACACCAGGATTCAAACCATAAAAAGTGCTTACATTTTTTTGCAAGGATTGAACTTGCAGTTTACCTTTACATTAGCGATTTGTTTTACCCAGGTACACCCAGCTGTTAGGACACCTGAACACTTCCCTGACACTTCACCCTCACTCTGGGGACATCACTGTCACTGACTCCACTCACGGCTTCGACCGAGAACAAGCTTCAGGTACCAAACATATCTGGTTCAATGCTAGATCCTCATTTTCTTGTCAATATTAAGATTTATTGGTAAGTAAAGCCTCAGCTACAACGCAAAGCTTTCTTTTTATAAAGGCGTGAAAAACAGTCATTAGGATGTTTACAAGGGCTGTTAGAAAATAACAGACATTTGGTTTAGCTCTAAGACACAGTCTCTTGACAGAGTTTCTAGTTCACTACGCATTACCAATGGTAGCCTGTAATTATAGAATAAAATTTTCTTCCAATTGTAAAGCTATAGGGTTTTATTGACATTAAACTATTAACAGTCAAATTTCATCTTCAGGTACAATGCATGCACGGCAAAGAAGTTAGAGTTAAAGCCAAAGAAGACCATATACCATGCTAATAACTAAAGTAATTAAGTGGATGAAATAGTAAATCATAGTTTGACAATTTGTCGAGATATGTTTTTAAAACTGAAATAAAACATCATGATCCCTATAAAATATGTGATACGTACTGTTTAAAACAAAGATCAGACTTGCAGGCAGGACTAAACAGAGAATATCAAAAAGCTTCTGTCATAGTATTGGTGTCATATCTAAAGCAATACATAGCATGGGCGTCCATCTAAAAAGGGTGGTCCTAGGGTTGGTCCCGGAAAATGAAAAAAATTTAGATGAAAATGTTTGAATTTAAGTTTTTAAAACCTAAAACTGCTTCATCCATTTTTATTTGATGCATTGTTTTAAAATTTTAATACTTACTACTGTGGTCACTGGCATAGTGTGAATGGGGTAGCGGATTTTTATCCCCCTGGGCAAACGTGACGTCACAAACCAGGGGGTAAAATTCCGACCCCGAACTTTTGAGTTTTGCGACATCAGTTCGATGGATTAAACGCGGAATTAAAGGTATATTTTCACGGTTGTGAATTTAATTAGAACACATCAAATTATAAAAACCTAGAGTGGACGGGCCGGAATCTTACTTCCGGACTTTTACCCCCTTCATGAGGTCAGCTCAAAACGTACGGTCCGGATTTTTACCCCCCGGAATTTTACCACCTAGCCAGATATATAAATTAGTGGGAGAATGGTTAATTATCTCCATTCAGTTTTAACTTAATAGTAAACAATTTATTAAGTCCCCTCTCTTAATTTATTTACAGAAAGTAAATAAAAGAAGCGTCATATAACACTTAAAACATATATTTACGCTTATGCTGTGACTCACAAGACGGTAAAACAAAAAGTTAATTTATTTGTAACATCAACTAATGGAACAGGTTTTTAATTTAAATTTTGAGATTCGAGTATCAGGATTCGATCTTTGAAGCCAACTATTGGTTAATATGACGTATAAACAAACATCAGAATGGTAATTGATTCGAAGATTTCTTTAACAATTTATTATACAACCTTGGTAAAACAATGTTTTTTGTTTGTATTGTAACAATAACAAAATATGCCTTATTGTTTCTTTATGAAGAAATGTTCACCCATTTATCATTTAAATGAGCTACTCAGAGTATTATTTTGGCAGTTGGCCCCAAACGCAAATCCCAAACATAAAAATTAAATTGCGAATTCTGTTTACTTGGTTGAGATTACAAAATAAATAAATAAAGATAGGCTAATTAATATAGCCCAGCCAAATTAGACATATGCTCCCCAAAAAATCGTCTAAAGCTGGAAAGTGTTTTAATACCTTTTGGGGGTCCCAAATAAGAGTCCTGTGAGTTTGCGACGGATTCTGACGTCTACTTGAGTTTTGGGAGTCGAAAAACTATGAAAACTTTGTACTTTTTCAGTTTTTCGTTTATAACTCCTAAATGACGAATCCTACGGAAAATGTTGTACAACGGTTTCTTTTAGTGCATGAAATCCTGCATCGATTGGTGTAAAATAAGTTGAAATTGGATGACCCGTATAGCCGCTGTAGCTGTTCAAACTTGAGATATTTTCATCATAGTGGCAAAAAGGTTGATTATTTGATTGATTTTTGGCTTACAACTCCTAAACGACGCATGCTATACAAAAATGCACCTGTAGTTAGTTTGGACAACACAAGATTCTGCGTAAAATATTTTTTTAATTCCTCAATACTGGCAATTGATTTTTAAAGTTGGAAAATTTTACTAAATCGGGTAACAACGTAGATCGTGTCCTTTAAATGGATTATGAATCATTAGATTGTGGTGTTTTTTTTTTGTTATTTTTCCTTGTGGGGTTGGGGTAATAGCCTACCCTTAGCTACTTCGGCCAGGACCCAAGTTGGGAAATGGTCGGCACGGTTGGGAAATGATTGGCAGAAATTTTAACGATTTGCCAATGTTGGCCCAACGGAAACTGGTATTCGTTGGCCCTACAAAGGAAAGAATTGTTGGGCATTCGTTGGGTTTAAGTATAAAACATCTAAAACGAATTTTAACAAATTGATTAATTTAAAAGTACATAAATGGTATGGCAGCAGAATATAAGAAAAATATTGTAAACATTTGGATCAATAATGAATGTAGTCAGATGATGTTGTGATACTAGATACAGTGGGGAACACCTGCTTAACATATAATAATTATTATAATTATTTTTTTTTTAATATTCTTTAACTTATTTAAGCAAGTTTTTAATTGTTATAGAGAATTGATTAATTAATTATATAACAATCAATTATAATAGTAGCCTACTAATTTAATGGTATTTAAATAATCTATATTCAAATACTATTATCCTCTCCAACTACCAGAAAAACAATTCAACTACTTGAGGCCTAAACAGATTAACAGAATCATATTATACTGTAGCATAAAAAATATTTAAAGTATTAATTGTGACCATTGCACCTGTCGGCTACTCTTTCACCACTTGAAAACACTCTAAATCAACAAGCACAGTTAGCTCAGAGGTAAGGCGTGAGGCTCACATGTCGAAGGTACCGGGTTTGAGACCCTTCCCGGCCAAAAAAGTTTATTTCGTTTTATTTTCAAAATAAGTTTTTATTAACTATTTAATCAATTTACTCAACTCATAATTATGCTTTGCATACAAAATCTTTATTATTTTGTGTTTTTTATGTTTATGCCCAATGGGATGGTTGGCCCTTCCGCAAAAATTGGTTGGTTGGCCAACCGTAAGACTGAGTGCCAAAACATACCGTTGGCCAACGATCGACAGAAACGTTGGGCCAACGATTTGCCAATGATTTTTGCTACTTGGGGAGACTTATTGCAGCACCCCTTGAATCATTCTGACAGCCCTAGGCTTCTCAAGTAGCCCAGGAGCTGAAAGACACCCAGCTTCCTTATCTCTGTTGGTTCCAGAAATGACCTCCCCAGAGATGTAAGCCTTCTTTGGGCCAACGCTGGACAGTCTAGCCATAAGTGTTCTGAGGTTTCTACCTCGTTCTCGCAGAACCTGCAGAGGTCTGTCTGTGACCTACCTATGGTCCTGAGATGTTTCCTGATAGGACCGTGCCCTGTTAACACTCCTACTAGGAGGCTAATGTCCCCCTTCTTAAGGCTCAGCAAGCCTTTCCAACCCTTATCAGTGGGGTCAATTAGTAATTTAGACGTCCTAATTCCTGGGTAGTTCCTCCAGGCCAAAGCCTTTTGAGCCTTGACCCAGTCTTGGACTTTGGCTACTCCTGAGCTTATGGGGTTACCACAGTAGGGTTCTGGTCCTGACAGTTTGTCTTCCGCACCCTTCCTGGCCAATGCATCGGCTTTTTCGTTCCCCTCATGCCCCGAATGTCCAGGGACCCAAGACAGTTAGACTTAGTTCCGCTCTGCTAACATTTTGAGGGTGTTTTTGCACCCTTTTACTGTTCGTGACTCTGTCACACATGACCCCAGTGCCTTCAATGCTGAATCAGAGAGAATAAGGATTTTCCCCTTCCTTGGATTCTTGCCAAGAATATTGTTAGCACAGCAATCAATCGCCAGGACCTCTGATTGAAATACTGTTGTTGTTCTGCCCAAGGCCAGGGATATTTTTGTTTTGTTACCATACACTCCCAACCCTGATCTCTCATCCTTCCGACTTCCATCGGTGTAATAAACCAAGCATGCTCTGTCAAAGTTGAAGTTACACTGTTGCCAGTTATCTCTTCCTCCTATAGGCACTTCGGTAAGTAATCTCGAAGTCGTATTCCTTTGTCATGAGGTCTGGTATACTTAGTTCCATGTCCATGCTTGGGAAGTCCCTTAGGATGGACAGGTGACCAGACTGCCTCTGTAGATTCAGCTCGCCTCTGCTTCCCATTTTTAGGGCAGATATGGCTGCACATTTCTTGACTTCCAGCCCTAGTGGGAGCATGTCGAGTATTGCCTCCATTGCAGCTGTGGGGCAGGATTTCATGGTCCCACAGATCCCCGAGCACGCTAGCCTTTGCAGCTGCTGCAGTTTTCTGCCAGCTACTGTCTGCTCTGCCTTAGGCCACCATACTAAGGCTGCATATGTAACCATTGGTTTGACTATGGCTTCATAAGTCCAATGTAGATAGTTAGATAATTAGACCAATTCGTAAATTACAAGGAAAAAAATATGGTTCGGATTCCACTATAAACTGTAGGTCCCTTAGTTGCCATTAGCTGTATGGGCTATTAATTAACAGCTGTGTCTAAGAAACATGTCGGCCTTAGTCACTAACAAGACTACAAGATCGCGCCACTCATCCTACAGTCATCCTTCACTCATATTTGGGTTAAAATACGCACACAGTGGCGTCCCCATCTTAAATAATTGATAATAATTGATTGATGTTGCGAGTCCCATGCCTCACTTTAAGTTTAAGTTTCCTAAAATGTTTCACTCGCTTAGCATAGTGAAGAGGTGTTAGGTCAATGAGACATAAGACTGCTTAAGGGTGTTACTCAACGTGTAATGAACAAAAATTTAAATTTAGAAAAACAACAAAATATACAAAGTGAAACAACAGCAAAAGAAAACTTTGAAAAGGCAAAAAACAACAATAATAAGGTTAATTAATTTGAAACGTAAAATTTACAAGTAAAGAAAATCAATT